GCCACTTATTCTTAAATGTAACTATTGATTTTAATGCAAATCTTTTCTCCGTTCGTCTGCTGAAATACAGGTAGTCCTTGACATAGGACCAAAATTGAGCCCCAAATTTTTGATGCTAAGTAAGTCATAAGTGAGTTTTACCCCATTTTAAAACCTTTCTGGTCACACTCGTTAAGTGAATCACTGCAGTTGTTAAATTAGTAACACAGTTGTTAAGTGAATTGTGCTTCCCCATTGACTTGGCTTGTCAGAAAGTCTCAGAAGATGCTTTCATGACCCCAGGACACTCACTGCAACAATCATAAATACGAGGCAGTTGCCAGGTGTCTGAATTTTGATCACATGAGGATGCTGTGGTTTAGCATACCAAGAATTATTTGATCACTAAAGAATCAAAACACAATCAAAATAAATTGAAGATTGAGTTTTCGGGTTTTCTAAGCAATTTTTTTTCAATTAGTGATATTGGAGTGCCTGGCACTGCCCACTTGGTTAGTGGTATTGGAATACCTGGCAGTGATAACAAAAGTGCTTTGAATTTGGACAAGCAGGATACCTTTTTGCTACCCTTTAAAGCAACTCCTTTTTCCAGGCTTCTACGGGTATCCGGGAAAAAAAAGATGGGACTACTTTAAGGAGCTCAGTTGCCTTTTTTTCCAGCTCCAGTGGAACTGTTCATAGGCCATATTTGGTCTGCTTTGTGGAGAAACGTGTCTTCACTTTAAGTCCTCTTTCAAGACCCAGAACATAACAGAACAAGCTTCATCATAGTTAGTCTTTCAGGGATTTAAAGCAAGGCCGCGACATGCCAGCAACCAGGCCGCACAAACAAACAAAGCCCCCATCCGCGAGATGAAGGCAGCCCACAAAACCATGTCCCCTCCAGTCCGCAGAAAAACCTTTCTCCATGGAACTGGTCCCTGATGCCCAAAGGACCTCTGCTTTAAAGCACTTTAAAGAAGCAATTCCAAAGTCTCCACCTTCTACTCTATCAGGAGGTGGTCTAAAAGAATTGACTCGGGAAGAGGAGAGGAGAAATATAAATTGAAATATGAGCAATTTTAAAGGGATATTTGTATCCTTTTAGCCTTCCCTCCCTCCCTTCTGTCAGCACAAACATGGCCAGGAACATATGATAATATTTCCTATATGGATATTTTGATTGTCTTCTTACACTGTGAAGAAAATAAGGATACAGATGACCATTAACGGAATTTTAAAACACTGTTGAAGAAATGAGAATAAAGTTTTTTAAAAATATAACACTATTCTGAGAAAGAACAAAACTGGTATGAATTAGGAAGGCACATCTATTTTTCCTTTTTCTTAAAAAAGAAAAAAAAAAAACCCACACAAAGCAGAAGGTTCATTTTTGGGTTAGGGGAAAAACATTCCAGACTGCTTCTTGATTTTCCATGGGTGATATTCTTTTGCTAACTTTTTCTTTTATCATTGTTAGAGCTCTTTAAGCGACTGCCATAGACAAGACAAACAGAAATATATACTACAAAGTGCTCTATAAAGACTGCAGGTTGAAGTCCCAGTGGAGACTGATGCTCCTGCTTTCTTACTGTAGCTAGAATGTATTGATTTTTTTTCTCCCCCACTTTAGCTGCATCACTGAATTAGATATTGTGAAGCATCTTTCCTTGTGAAGACAGGAAAAACTGTCATGAACTTTTTCACCCTAACAATAGGGCATTTCAGTCTGAAAGATTGCAATAACGATTGAAGCCTTCAAAAACAAAGCTTCTTAATGTATCCCACACTGACTGTTCTGCCCAAAAGATAGCTGTAGATCTTGAGGAAATAGGATGGCAGATGGGGGGAGGGAGGGCAGCATGAATTTTTAGAGCTGTTTTGTGTGTTAAAAAGAAAATCAATTGATGAAAACAATGCAGTCCTCTGGTGCGTTTCTCAGAAGGTTAGCACAGTGGTCTCGTCCAAGTTCTCAGCAAGCTGTTCAGTTACTGTTATAATTGGCTGATGAGTAGGTTTGGACCTAACTAGAATGCCAAGAGTTCGATTTCATGGTGTCCTCTGTGAAGATGTGTCACCATTTAATCCTAGCTTTAGTGACATTTTTTTTTTTAAAAAAAAAAAGGAAACTCATGGGAAATCATTATGCTGTTTATATGTCTCCCATCCTGGAGAGCATTATCCTGTGATATTTTAGCACTGTTTTCTAGTGCATGATGGTATCTAGCGAAGGTTAAGGCAGAACAAGTCCCTTTGCAATTTTGTGACTGTATTTCACTTACTGAAGGAGAAGGGATAACTGACAATTAAGAATTCAGAATGTCACTAGGAAACATGTTCAGCTGACCAACAAATCCTCCGGGAGGATGCTTTTTATGAACCTAAGAAGATAGAAAAATTGAGATATTATGGGTTTGTTATAGAATATCCTATCTTAAGGCTGTATTGTTTCTAGTAAACATTCCTAGGGTTTTTTTTAAAAAAAGGTTAATTAAATATAATTAATATAAAAGCAATGAAAACACACAAACAATGCTATTTTGATTTCTTTGTAGTTTATGTATTATCTTCAAGCTTATGTAATCACTTCATTTTTACATGTATCTGTTTGGTTAGATCTAGACTTACTAAAATCAGACTTTTTCTGAAACCCCATTCCCTTCCCCTTACCCAAAGCTTAAAAACAAAATCTGAAGTTGATGCTTTTAAGCTACCTCTGGAAGACAAGAAAGGAAAGTTCAAAAGTTTGAGGTCCATTCATGGAATGCTGAAGTGCAATTTAGGAATAGCTCTGAAGTCAACCAATAAAAAGGTATTAATAGTGACTCTGTAGCCCAGATACACTCCAATAGACCTAAATGACCTATAGTGAAAAGCTTTTCTCTCACTATATTAAAAGTATATTTAATTGCCTGCAGAGCTTTTTCAATATTTTCCCTCAATACCTAGATTAGTGACTATTAGGACTTTGTTTTGCTTGGGTTAACAGCCTGTATTGTTATTCAGTTCACATATCCTTTAACTTACATCCCCCATCACCCCTCCTTCTATGAATAACTAAAATGCAAAGCAAGATGAATTTTGTAGCAGTAGAGTGCTGATTTTACAAAATGCAAATGAAAAAGACATTTAATGTAGAATTCTCATGTAAAGGTGAACTGAAAGGCTTTCTAAATACCAGAAAATAAGAGTTTAGGCCAGGGTGGTCAGCATATAATATGAGATGCAACTCAGCCTACCATTACCTGCTGACCTGCAAGAAGCCATTCAGTGACTGTTGACATGTCCAGATGAAGCACAGCTAACAATCTGGAGGGCTGGGTGGGTATTTTAAGAACAGGACTGGGAATGGGTGATCACCATGGAAATATATTCCAAAATTGTTTGCTGGCTTTTTAAAATGTTATTTGTCTTTTGCAAAGTTACCAGATTAGCATCAGTTTGGCCAACTGGCAGGGAACTATATATCCAACAGATCTGGAGGGTTTCAGGTTGGGGATAATATACTTTTCTTTCTAATTCATCATTTTGATACAATTACCTGATCTTCCTTAAAAAAAAATAGAGCTTGAGTTTAGATCTACACAAGAGCTAAGACATTACAAAGCAAAACATATTGATTTCATCTCTATTTCCTTTTTTAAAAAAAAATAGAAGTGTATTTTCTGTTCTGAGCATACTTTCTTCACTTTTTCTTTGTTGTAGCACCCAACCAAATATTGTCATTATGGATGGTTATAATAGAGTTTGACTTACTATAGGCAGTGTGAACAAATGAACTTTTCGACCAGCCCTACAAGGCTCTTATCCTACAAGGGGCAGTATAGTTTGATTGCATTGATCAAGACTGCCTTCTACTACTCCACTACTATTGCTCTTGACTTTGTTTTCTCATCCAAAATCAATATGCTATGCTTCAGGATAAACATTTTTCATTACACTATTTCCTTTCTGTGAACTTGTAAATAAATAAAAAAAAAACTTTTTTCAGTTTTATAAAAACATGTTTGTATTTTTGGGGGAGAGGGGGGAAATGATTTGCACTGATCTTAAAACAGAAAACTTTTGATAAAGGAGTATTTAACAACTATAGATAAGCTTGAGGTTGTGATTAAAATGCTGGACTAGAAGCAGAGAGGTCCAGTATGAAGTTCCTCCTCAGCCATGGAGGGTCACTGAATGACTTTGGGCCAGCTATTTTCTCACATGGCAATCTACCTTATAAGATTGCTGTGGGGGGGGGGGAATGGGAGAGTGTTCTAACTGCCACTTTGAGCTTCTGAAGAGAAGGCAGGATATAAATCTCGTAAATACTGTATATACATGTTGTGGAAACAGTCAACCATATAAAGTTGATCTGATCCTCCTAATGAGAAGCTGTTTTTTCTTTCTTTTCAATATCTTCTTTATGCCAAGGGCCTTTTTCTATTGTCTATTTGCAGCCCTTGAGCTAAGTTGAGCTGATCTCTTGGTCTATCAGACTTTAACCCAAACCTGTCTATCAAATTACGTATTTTTTCTAGAGTGACATACTTTTCATTCTGTCCTTGTTAATTGTAACAAGAAAGGATAACTTTTGATTGTCACATTTCCAGATTAGAAATCTGTTAGGAAACGTTTGATAAATGAGTATTTAACAACTATAGACAGCTTTAAATATATTGCTAATTGCTTCCTTATAAAATGATTATGGGTTACATCATCAATTATTTTTTATGAAATATATGGATTTAATCTCCACTGAACTTTGCTTTGATTGTCACTTGGACCGGTGATCTTGCACGTAGGATGTTAGAGATGAATCTGTGTGTTGTGTGGTGATCTATCAAATCAAACACTTCCCTGTCCTTATTAAGACACACTAAATCATTAATAAAGCCAGCTAGACTCCCAGATAATCAGAAGACTTCTCCCTGGCTGCTGTAATGGATGAATGTCTTTCAGATTCCACTAGCAAAATGACTACTGGATATGATCATGTTAGATCAAGTGCATTATTTTTATTATTATTTTTATTACAGAGTATTGTTTTAGAAAATGAAGAACTTCCCAAGATGTTTCTTGATTTTCTCAACGTTCGTCACTTTCCTTCTCTCCCAAAAGCAGAAAGTTGTGGGTAAGATTCTTATCCGTACAATTCAAAATACAACAAAACACAATAAACTTAAAATTCCAATTTCCCTTTATTAATTAAAATTTTATTCACAATTTGTTTCAAAATATCAGAATATTTCCTTAAACAGGGCACTTAAAAATGTTCAAGAAAATCTTCAGTGATTCTATTTTGCATATAAAACAAGGAAATTCTTAATGAATGTGTTTTGGCATTACCATGCTGAGATTGACTTCATATCTAAGTATTTGGTATAATTTTGCATTAGTCTGATTCAATAGCTGCTCCAGGTTTAGAACCTTTGCTGACAACACAGGTCCCTTCTTTAGAAAACTCATTTATTTCAGTGGAAGGAACTTATGTATGTCTATATTCTTTGGAAAAAATATAATTATACATACTAAAAATCCTTTGGGACATTTGAACACGCATGACCTCTGGAATAGTAATGAAAAGACACTAAAGAAGTTGGGTGTGCAGAGGGTTAAACATTCATTACCATAAAAAAATGGGGAAAAAAACAATTGGCATTAAAATTGAAGTTATTTAAAAATATTTACATTGGAATAATTTTAAAATAATTTGGTTAGCTGTGAGGAAAGGATCATAAAAGTTCAGATGGCAGCTATAACACGCCATTGAGCATGTTTTTTTATATGCATTGTGGACACCCTTGGACAGCTGGCTACAGGAAGGCATAAGACTGCTGAAATCCGTTTTAAAGAAAGTTTTGCTATTCCTGATGTGGAGTGTCTATTTTAAATCTGTACATTCTAATATTTTTTAACAAATTATATTCCAGTTCTTTTGAAGAAACAGAATCTGAAGAATCAAGGTAAGTTCATTATGATATATTCTTAAGAAATGTTTTATATGTATTATATAATTAATGCGAGATAATTTTAAAAAAATTCTTAGCATTCTAACAAAATTGTAAATGTCTTGGTATCATTGCAACAGATATGATGAATGCATACCATTTTTTAAATTATTTTTAATAGGAAGCAATGGGCAAAATAAAGATTTTAGGAACCACTATTTTGTATTCTTCTTTTAAATAGAAAAGGATTTTAAACTGCTTATATTGAAGTTAATCAGGCATTTAATATTGCATGGTTAAATGTTAATTTTTGAGAGAGCCTAACAAGATATTTTAAAGAAGATTTATAAGTTACAACCTCATTCTGTTATTGGCTCTTATCTGTCAGCTTCTTTATCTTATGTGAATTAACAGTTTTGCATTACATTTAGATTTCCTTTTTCCTTATCTCCTCTTTATGCATTTCTGAACCAGAAAAACTTCCCTATATGTTATCTACTGTTATAGCAATTCTGGTTTTGATGCCTAGTGATTAAATTTAACTGTAGTTAAATCTGGTTGTGGTACCATTTTCCTGCCCACAGATCAATATGATATGGGCATCCCTTCTTTATTTACATATTTTGTGTAACAGCTGGGGAAGAAAATTATGATACTTTCTTTAAGTGTCCTAAATCCACCCAAGGTCCGGCAACTGAAATAAATGAATGTAGAAGTTCTAAGGAAAAAAAGTCACTGAAGTTGCCGACAAGTGCAATATTGAACTACTTACTTTATCCTGAGATTATTTCCAGGCAAGCATAACAACTGAACCAGTTTTAGTACCATGATCATTGGTCTTCTTGTAAGAAATTAAACCTCTCTGGACTCAGCTGGATTAGGTTCTGAGTAAATATACCTATTGCTCGTATTATATGTGATCTTCTGCATGTAAGCATTATTCCTTGATGATGGATTTTTTTCTCCTTTCCCATAAAACTGATTTATATATATAAGCAGTATCCCTAACCAGTTCTACTGCCTTACTTTATCAAAGCTAGTTTGTAGTGTATTTGGTTTAGTGTCCCTCGATGGTGATATTCCTGTTCTTGACCTTTACAGCAAACTGTCCCACCAGCCCGTGTTGCTGTTCCTAAGGGATCCATATGTCTTGCCTACAGCCAATGGTAATCAGACCTGTCATCTATTAACAGTTCTTTACTTATCTGCCCCATACCACAAAAACCACATTGTTATAAATGGATGAGCTCAAATTCTAATAATTTGGCAAAATACATCAGGAGTTATTTTAATGCTGTTTAAAGTAATTGCTGAGAAATGAACATTTCTTTTTTGCAGACAGCCCTCCTACAAATAAAAATTAAAAATATATTGTTATCTTGGCTCTCCTACATCAATAGCAAAGCTCTTGGAAGTGAATTTCAAATGGAATGGATATTGTAACACTGCTAATATTTTGATAAGAATTATAAAAACAAATAGTGAATGAAAAATGATCTTTTTGTGTTCTTAAATGTGCTGTCTTTTTATTGTAGCTCACAATATTTCACATAACCTTTGCTAATTCCCCCCCCCCCAAATATTCCCAATATCCAGTAATATCATGAATTATACTGTGAAGTGAGCAAAATTAGATGTCTCCAATACAGTTAATGTTCAAACTAAGTCTTAAACTCCCTTTCTCTTTAAGGTATAAAATGTGCTTATTGTTGTGATTGATATGGGCTGGGATATAGTGCAAAAGGAAGACTATTTAATTATTAACTCTTGTAAAAATTTCTTTGGTTAAATTAATCTTGCCAGTCACTCTTAACTGTGGAAAGTAAAGCCTATTACACTTTCCCATTCTTTGGAAAAGAAATAGAAATTTGAATTAGGCTTATTAACATGGAATAATTGGTTCTCTGGCTCATATAAAGTTACTGCCCTTGCCAAATCACACTGTATTGAGTCATGCTTTTTGTAAAGTTAAGATTACACTCAGAAAATAAAGCACTAGCACAGTATGAAAATTTAGGTACAATAAAACCAACTGCTTTCTTCACTTCCATACTTATATTTTTTAATTTCCAGTCCAGAAGTGAAGAAATCAAAAATTACTTCGAATGCCACCATTTTAGTAATTATTTTTACCTTGAAAATGTTTTCATAGAAGCAGGACTTGCCCGCAAGTATTGAATTGAATGGTATTTTGGAGAAAAAATGAATGGGATTGCACTGTGAGATGCCAGACTCAGAAAAGGAGACATGAAGTGATTAAAATTTAAACAATTTCATTAAAGCTAAAAAAAAAAATCAAGAATTTTCCTACTCTTCTCCAACTTACAATATTTATGAATGGAATGATAGTGGTGTTTTACCATTTCAAGCAAGACCTTATTAAATTCAACTCATGTCATTGAATTTAAAATGCAGAAGACAATGAACAACTGAATATTGGAATAATATTAAATATAGGATTATTTTTTCATTCTAGCCATAAAAATTAAAAATTTATAAAATAAACCTCAGTTACATTTTTTTTACTGAAATTTTCCTTCTTGTGAATATTTATATTTAATTCTTGTATCTGTTGTAGTGATTAACTTTGCTTAACTTCTCTCTAGGACTTTTTCCAAATGTTCTTAACGTTGTCATTTTCCTGCTCTAGAACTGTTTGTGCGACAGCATAAGCCTCTTCCAGTCAACTTGGACAAAACTGTGCTGTAAACTAGAGTGGAAAAACTGCTGTGGAGTATTCCCAGTAGAAATCTTGGAATTCCTTCAAGTGTATTGAGATTTTGTTAGAAATTGAATTGCCAGTGTAATCCATCTTCCTTGTGAGAAAAGATTCAGATAAAGAGCTGGAGCCTAGCAGCATTAAGTATTAGAACATCCCTTTAAATCAATAAGCTACAAATCTGGCGGTGCATTCAAGCAATACCCAGGGCTACACTAAAGTGGGTTCCTGCTGAAACAGCATTACTAACAACAAATTCGGAGCACAGATAAATATAGTGGTGATGCAATATCCTAAATTATACCAGGCTTCGCCTTGTTAGGTTCTACAAAAACATTTATATTGTATTGACATATGTAAGGAAGCAGTTTTTCTTCTCTCTTTTTTCCCCAGATGACTTTCCAAATGTAGTTATTGAAGGCATTCTCCATGGATTGTTTTATCCCCACCTACAACCCAGGTAGAAAATGAATTTGGATGGAAAATAATCAAGAGTAAATTCAAGTTATATTCCTCAATGCAAGCTTTTGAAGACTTTTTTTTAAAAAGTAAAAGTCAAAATACTGAAGCAAGACACTCATGTTTGAAGTTGGAACTTTTGGGATTTTTTAATTGTATCACTAAAAATGGCTGCTTTTAAAGATTACAAATGGGAAAAAACGCTACTCGGCTGAACTTGTATACTAAACTCTAAATATTTAAATTTTAAAACAGCTGACAAAATGCCAAATTACACTAGCAAGTTTCATCATGTATTTATAATTTTTGTGTGTCTGTGATAAATCATTACTCTAATTCTTTTGTCTCCGTGTTGTACCCACTGCTGGCAGCGGATACATAAAATATAATAGCATGTATGACTAAAAAATGTAAATGTTAAAAAATAATTGCTAAAACTGGAAATGCAATATAAGCTCACTGTATCAGTATTTCTGATGTCATACTATATAAGTATTATTTTAGGGACAGAAATGTGTATATGCTTGCAGTTTGGTTTAGTCTTAATTTTATGTCATAAACTCGGCTGCAATGCTTTTATTAGCCTAAGCTTAATGTCGTTTTCCAAAATTTTATTAATTTTTAACCTTTTGTAATATAAATAAGAATGAACATGATTAATAAAAATAATTAGCCAGTCCAGAGGCAGTTCAACTTGACTATCCTTTTCGCAGCGCCTGGAATTTCCCCTTATTTTATCTGTTAAAAATTGAGCACTTTCCCAAAGGTTTGAGATGGAAGGACATAAAAATGTACTCAAAATCATACAAATATGCATTAACACAATTTAAAAATAAGAAATCATCACCAGACCCAGGGAAAAAATGAAAATACTGTTTCCACGCAAATGTATGGTAAAAATCCTGCCAGTTTTGCTCTCATCCCAAAGGCTTGTCTACCCTGTCAACTGTGCAAATGAACATTCTGTTTATCACCATGTGGAATTCCAAAACCCAAAAACAGTGAAATAATGAACATCTGTAAAAATACCAACTTGTTGGTCACATGTCCATCCACCACTTTGTCAGTTGTGAGTACATGTGCCATAGCCATATTGCAGATGGAGTTGTAACATACTGTGCTTCTTAACATGGGGGACTCATGTCTGCCATAACAATTATGACTCTGTGCCGATGGGTACCTGGCACAGCAGAATATATTCTAGTTATCCCCTTCAAGGGCAGTTCAGTCAGAGGTGTTTTCCTGTATTTCAGTTGTCCTGGCTGATCGTTCTCTGGGCAGCTTTAGGTTGGCGATTGATATGAACTTTAGCCAATGTTAAAATGACTTCCTGAATGCCATTGGGGATTTTCCATCTCCTCGGTCAGCGATACCATCAAACCTTATCAAGCAGTAGATATTATTGCTCAAACAGGCAGCAGCAGGTGCAGACAGTACATTCACATCTTCTTCAAAGCAGCTTTCCTGCCTCGGATCCAAATACTGTGAACCTGTCAAGGAAAGACTTCTTAAAAATACCTTCATTTTCTGAAGTCCATTTGTCTGTCACCCAGGAGAAAACTTTCTCCAGTGCTGAACAAAATTCAATTCCCCGTTTCATTCAGCCCTAACATTTTTCCACTGTTCTGAAATATGTCTAGACTTTTATGGTCAAGCCTTTTCTCTCTGAACTGGCTTAACAGTGATGTTAACAGTTTTTATGATTTCAAGTATTCATGTTTTGCTCCTTATTGTTAGCTGTAATGAATATGGGCAGAAATAAGGAAAATAATTCATGACAATAAATAATATTCTTGTCTTGGTTTATATTATTACTATTGTGTTAGGTATAGAAAATGAAAATATATTTACATCTTTTAAAACTAATTGATTTGGATTAATAATAAATTATGCATGACAAAAATAGAGCATTGCTTTAAAACAGTATATCTTTCACCAGTAGTTTAATATTTGTACACAAGGTAAGTAAACAAGATTTAAACGATAAAATTATAAAAGTAATATGTAACTATAATGACATATTTTGCATTTTGACAAATTCAAACCAAAGTCTAGTTGAAAGTGAGGTCTTTTAATAAATGATATCTATGTATTGTTGAAAAGGATCATGCAAGGTATTTGTTACGTCAGCATACTTTGTTCAATTACATAGTAATTTTTACATGTCTATTTTCAAATTCATAAATTAGGAAATCCACACAATATATACTGTAGAAATGCTGGTTGAAAAATGAGGGGCTTTGTTCAAAGTTTCAAAATTATTACGCGAAGAGATTAAAAATATTCATAAGGTGGATACTAGTAAACAAACAAGGGGCTATAAACATTTGTATTGTATGCTGCAAAGATAATCTCAGTGTCAATCTCTTTAAATCAACACCTATGAAATGTTTTACCCTAGAAAAGTAATAGCATAGCATTTCCTCATTTAATATTCAGGTATTTCTTTTACCTGCAAGGTGTCCTTTTATAGTCTCTGCAAAGTATTTTCTGATAGAAGCCTCACACAGTGATAACCAGACTTTACTGCAGCTCAGATGCTCCTATTTCTGTCAACTTCTCCAATCATCTACTTCAATCACAAAGGGTTCTTTTACATCTATTTTTCCACTGTTAATGATCACACAGTCCTGAAGAGGCCGGTCATGGTCATCTGTTGCCTGAAGTTCAATATCATGTACTACTGACTAAAGAGAGAGAGGCTTTTGATGAAAAAATTTACATTTTTTTTTCGTAAATCCTTTACAAAAATTCCTCATTTCAAAGTTGTTTACATAAATGGCTTTTCAGTCGAAAAAATCAACTCTGCATCACAGCTATGATCAGATGCAATGGTAGGACTTGCCTTCTAGAACAGAGGTCCCCAACCTTTTGGGCACCAGGGACCAGTTCCATGGAGAAATGTTTTTCTACGGACCAGAGAATGTGTGAGTTTGTGTGCTGCCTGCATCCCATGAATGGGGCTTTGCTTGTTTGTGCAGACCAATTGCTGGCATGCTGCGGACCGATACTGGTCCATGGACCAGGGGTTGGGGACCCCCGTTCTAGAAGAAATTAAATCTGAGTGAAAGCTGTCTCCTTTGCTGTAGCTCTCTGTAAAACTGCTAAATCATCAAAAGAATATAAACACTGTACCACCTGCAATCTTACTGACAAATTAACAAAACCTAAAACCTTTCCCTTATATTTTACAAAGGAAATAAGGGTAAGAAATTCTTGCTTGATGCTGAAAATGAAACAAAAGGTAATTCTCACCTGCTAGAGAATTACACAACTCTTTCTCCATCAATAAGATGCTTTTTGTATGCATCATTAACTTTTCACTGAAAGTATGCAACTAGTACACCTTTTGAACTAAAGAAACTTACACTCAGAACAGTGTTTTATTTCTAATAAAGCATTGTAGATTTCACTTACCATTCCATCAATGACTTTTCCAAATACTACATGTTTCCCATCTAACCAGCCAGGCTTTGTTACAGCAATGAAGAACTGGGAGCCATTAGTGTTTGGGCCAGAATTAGCCATGCTGATCCAACCAATGCCATAGTGATTTAGTTTGAAGTTTTCATCAGGAAATCTATCTCCATAGATGCTTCTTCCTAGATAACAAAATACTGTTTTTCATCAGACGAAGCAAGACTTTAAAATCATTGTTAGAAAGTTTTACAACACAGGGCCCTTGCTAGTAGAGCTACGCAAAATGTCTTCAACTAGAGTCAGACTAGTTTAAGGGAAGTTGTTGCCACGCAAAAATTTAAGAGTATGAGTAGATGTGTGTGTATGTGTGTTTTAATACAGAGTTCCCCAACCTTTCTGTGTTGGCGGCCAAGAGCGGGGGGGGGGAGAGGGGATGATTTTGTGGGCGGGGCAGGCACATATGCACATGCATGCACATGCATGAGCACCCACGACATTCGCGGCAATACTCGTGCAAGTGGAGCCACAAGCACCCGCAATGAGGCTCGCATGAGTCGGACTGCAGGTGCCACGAGGCTTGCACGAGTGGGGCCACAAACGCTGATACTCATGCAAGTGGGGCCACAAGTGCCTGCAATGAGGGTCACGCGAGTGGAGCCGCAAATGCACCCAACACTCGCAGCGCTGCTTATGCAGATCTACATGCACCAGCCAGCCACTCACGTAGCCCGGTGGCTTATGCAGATCTACATGCACCAGCCAGCCACTCACGTAGCCAGTAGTGGGCTGCTGCCCATAGGCTGGGGTCCTCTGTTTTAATACACATTACATCATGTATGTGCCGGATGGTGCATTGTTATATTATATTATAGTGTGATATATTTAAAGAGAAATGTCTTTATTTTTATGATATGCCGTATTTAGATATATTTTGTTGAAGAAAACAATCAGAAAGGGTACATACAGTGCATTCAGAAAGTATTCAGACCCTCTTCACTTTTGTCAATTATGTTATTCTACAGCCTAATTCTACGGTTGTTGAAATTATTTTTTTTTGTCATTAATCTACACTCAGTACCCCATAATGACAAAGTAAAAGCAGAATTTTAGAAATGGCTGTACATTTATTAAAAAGAAAAAACTGAAATATCACATTGGCATTGGTATTCAGACCCTTCACTCAGTACTTTGTTGAAGCAGCAATTAAAGCCACAAGTCTTTTTAGGTATGACATGACAAGCTTTGCACATCTGGATTGGGGGATTTTGTGCCATTCTTCCTTGCAAATCTTCTCAAGCTCAGTCAGGTTGGATGGCAACCATTGGTGGACAGCCATTTTCAGGTCCCTCCTGAGATGTTCAATAGGGTTCAAGTCAGGGCTCTGGCCACTCTAGGACATTCACAGAGTTGTCCCTAAGCCACTCCTGTTTTGTCTTGGCTGTGTGCTTAGTATCGTTGTCATGTTGGAAAGTAAATCTTCGGCCCTGTCTGTCTGAGGTTCTGAGTGCTGTGGAACATGTTTTCATTGAGGATATCTCTGTACTTTGCTCCATTTAGCTTTTCCTCAACCCTGACCAGTCTCCCAGTCCCTGCTGCTGAAAATCATCCCCATAGCATGATGCTCCCACCGCCATGCTTCACTGTTGGGATGATATTGGTGATGAGCGGTGCCTGGTTTCCTCCAGATATAACGTTTAGAATTGAGGCCAAACTGTTTAATCTTGGTTTCATCAAGATTGAACAGAGAATCTTGTTCCTCACAGTTTGGGAATCCTTCAGGTGCTTCTTCGCAAACTGCAAGGGGACTTTCATGTGTTCTGCACTGAGGAGAGGCTGCTATCTAGCCACTCTGCCATAAAGCCCAGATCGGTGAAAGGCTGCAATGATGGTTGTCCTTCTGAAATTCTATCCCATCTCCACACAGGACTCTGGAGCTCTGTGAGAGTGACCATGGGTACTTGGTCACTCTCTTACTAAGGCCCTTCTTCCCCGATTGCTCGGTTTGACCGGGTGACCAGTTCTTGGAAGAGTCCTGGTTCTGCCAAACTTCTTTCATTAGAATTATGGAGTGTAGATTAATGAGAAAAAAAATGAATTACAACACTATAGAGTAAGGCTGTAGCATAACAAAACCGACAAAAGTGAAGGGGTTCTGAATACTTTCTGAATGCACTGCATTACACAGCTTTAAATTGCTTTATTTATTTATATTTAATTTCTATAGTCTTCCATCTTAACCAAGTGACTCTGGTCAGCAAACAATGCTAAAACAATTAAAAACTGCCAACAAATAAATATATACAGTAGCCAAGACAATTATAATAATTGTCAGTGAAGCCAAGAAATGAGGCCTGTTAGTAATAGAGCTACACCCACCCCAACTTAATTTTGACCCACACTTTCTTTATGACGGGGAGAGACCAAATTCAGGAGCACATAGCTAGGTTTTTAAAGCCTCATGAAAAGCCCGCAGAATCTCTGAAAGATGGCCCAAAGGACAAGGCTATCAGCACTCTTCTGATATTTGGACCTGGCAACGTGAATATTCTGTAAAGAAAGCAGTGTTACCTCCAGTACCATCTCCAGCTGTAAAGTCACCTCCTTGAATCATAAAATCTTTGATTACACGATGAAATTTGCTTCCTTTATAACCAAATCCTTTCTAAAATTTAAAATGACACAGTTGCAGTTCAGTAAAGTTGCTACAATTAACAATGGATGCAATTAAATGTTTAACAAAACAACTATTGTGTGTGTGGTTATTTAATTTAAATGAGGAAAAAATCAGAACATCCTGTTAGTAATAGTCATATCTACACTCATTCCTGGCTTAATTTCTATACCTTTTCTGTATGAGGGGGAGAGACCAGCTCACTCTATTCCCCCCTGCACCAAGCCAACCAGGCCTGGAGGAGAACCGTCAAGACATCAACTCTGAACTGAAAAGAAAAACTTGAACTCTTGCCTATTGCTGGAAAATAATGGATCAGTCACTACTGACATCAGATAAATAAGGACATGTGACAAAATTACTACTACTATTAAGTTCATATATTTCTTTTCTATTAAATATGAAAACAAAGCTCTTTAAAAAGCTCTTACCTCTCCAGTTGCAAGTTTAATGAAGTTTTCTACTGTCTTTGGTACCACCTTTCCAAACAAGCCAATTACAATTCTGCCAGCATTTCTGTCACCAATCTGTATATCAAAGAAAACCTGGAAATTTTCAAAAATAGAAAAAGGAATCACTGTCATTATGATATATCATTATTAAACTAGGCTATTTATTAGCTATTTAGTAGAAGATAGACAGTTGTATTCTAAATAATGTGCTTTTCAGGTTGTAGAAGGAACTTTTCTAACAAGATCTTTAAGC